TGAATAGATATTATCTTGGTATAGTTGATCGCACTGTTTGTTTTAGAAGATTGTAGGTTCACGTTGGGACTTTGAGCTCACAGTCTAGAATGATGCTTCAATGTAGTTCTGAGGGAGCCCAGCATCGTTGAAGATACCGCCCTTCACATGAAACATTAAAGAAAGTTCCTGGCTGCCTATTCAGGGGTATATTGCTCAGTGTAGCTCAGCGTAGCAAAGTTCTGTAGCTCAGTGGTTAGCGTACTTACTCGCAGGCGAGAGACCTGGGTTCATTTCCCGGCAGGGCAAAATGTCGTCCAAATTTCCTTACTCTACACGCCCTGTTTATCTAGCAGTAAGTAGGAATCCAGTTATTAGTTGATTAGTGGATCGCTTTTCCTCTGTTTTAAAGGAATTAATAATTCCCTTTCTAAAAAAAACATAATAATTTGGTCACTCAATCCATGACTGGTTGTGGGACACTGCTGTGCACAATTGGCTGCTCAACTGTCTTTTCTCCCCCACATTCAAGTCATGATCCGCTCTGTCTTCCCTCACCTCTGTAACATCGCCCGACTCCGCCACTACCTCACCCCTCAGGCCGCTGAAACTGTTGTTCATGCCTTCGTCATCTCCAGGCTCGGCTATGCAAACTCCCTGCTTGTCAGCATTCCCAACTCCTCCTCCACAGACTGCAGATAATGCAGAACTCTGCAGCCCGTGTCCTCTCCTGTGCCAAACTCCATGACCCCATCTCCCCCATTCTCACCCGACTCCATTAGCTCCCTATCCTTCAGAGGATCCAGTTCAAGATCCTGGTCCTCACATACAAAGCCCTCCATGGCCTCGTCCCACCCTACCTCTGCGACCTCCTAACCCCTTACCAACTCGCCTGTTCTCTCCGCTCAGCCGGCTCTGGCCTGCTCCACGTCCCCCCGACCCATCCGCCCCACCATTGGCGGGAGAGCCTTCAGCCAACCTCTGAAATTCCATCCCCCAGTCACTCCGCCTCGCACCCTCCTTCAAGTCCCGCCTCAAAACCCTCCTATTCGACCATGACATCGGCCACCCCCTTCCCCTCCCCTCCCGCGCCCCCCCAACCCCAGCTCGGGTCTGAAATGCTTTACTCTGTCCAGCTCCTTGGGACGTCCTCCTGACGTGAAAGAAGCTATACAAATGTAACCTTGTTGTTGTTTAGCCCACAAAATATACAGTCAATTCACTTTACAATTTATTCTGTCAAGCGCTTTATGACATCTTGAAGATATAATAAGGCACTATATCAAATGCAGGTATTATTATGTAAAATATCTCAAAAAAGGAAAGGAGTTTCTCCTGGTATCCTGGTTAGATTATATTAGTCATCCACTTAATGGCTGTTTATAGGCCATTGCTGTGCGCACATTGGCTGCCACGTTTTGCCTGCAAAATATCCAGTCACAACACTTCACAGTAAATACTGTGAAGATCTTTGAGGTGTCCTCTCTTCGTGAAAGGCACTCGTTTTTATTATTTGGATGTGCCCTGCAGTAATGCTGTTTTAAATCCAATTACTCAAGCCAAAAACCGAATCCGGTTTTCATGCATTGTTTGCAAATCTCTCAGCTTCAAAATAGATGGGTAAATCTGTGAGTCATTAAAATAGTGTATGGAATAATTTTGATGTTTAATTTTTAAGAAAGGTTACAGACAGTCTAGCATTGAGACAATCATGTAGGAGAAATGTTTCAAAATGCTTTAAGGAATGATATTAATTAGAAATTAATGTTATAATAATCCTTGCATTTGATATAGCACCCGATCATGAAATATTACTTCATGAAATATACTGTAAAGTGTAGTGACTGTATATTTTGTGGGCGAAACGCGGCAGCCAATTGCGAACAGCAGTGTCCCACATACAGCCGTGGATTGAGTGACAAAATTATAAATTGTGTTTTTTTAAGGGATTATTACCCCCAGAAAAGCAATCCGCCAATCAACTAAGAACTGGGTTCCTACTTACTGCTTGGTAAACAGAGGCGTTTGGAGTAAGGAAACTTGCCTAACATTTTATTTAAGAAAATATGAGTTATTGTGGTGGGAGCGGAAGGAAGTACAGGATTCTGCCCCACACACATGCGGGTTTACGGACAAACATGGAAGTTGTTATCTGTCAGTAAAGTCCTACAAACAATGGATGAGTGGTTAAAGTGCTTAGATAAAGGGAAGATATAAATCCAAATAACCAGTGGGAAAACATCAGTTTGAAGTGGCAGAGAAGAGGGACAACTTCCCTTATTGGAACAAATACGTAATGAGAGAATTTGAGGAAGTGAAATATGCAGGAATTTTTATACTTAAAACTTTTTTTAGGGTTTTAATCGTATTGAATTGAATCTGATCTTTTAGTACCTCTTAATAGTTGTCTTTTGCAGCAATAATGGTTGTGATATGAAAACAGAATTTTGCAAAATAATGGCTGTCTCAGGGAGCCAGGGTTTCACATGATCTTCTGATAATCAAATAGTTAAATGTTTAAAATGTATTGATATGTTTTAATGGTGTCATTCAAATATAGAAACTATGTTATACAGGCAACCAACATGAGATCTAAATTTATCCTCATTCCCACAATCTTTTGATGCAACTTGTATATGTTTGATGAGAATCAGAGAAACTTACAGCACACAAGGAGGCCATTTGACCCATATTGTCTGTGCCGGCTCTTTGAAAGAGCTATCCAACTCGTCCTCCTTCGCTCTTACCCTGTAAGCTCTGCAATTTTTTCCTTTATCTCTGGGATTTCTATATGTAGTTGGGATGCATGGAAATCTCGGCTTGGTTTGGATACACTTAAGCATGGTGATGGGTTTCCACATGTGTCAGACACCCAGCTGAGCAAAAAAACAATAGAACACTTTATAATGGGGCTGCACTGAAAAATGCTGAGATTCTAGTAATAATGATAATCCTGGCATTTGATATAGTGTCAGATAGGCTCCCTTGAGACATTTTCTCCTCAACTATGAGTCCAATTGTAAAATTCTGCTGAACAGAACATGAACAGTGCATGAAATTTTGATTGTCAAAATACCGAGGACTGCATAGGCCAATTGCTTTTGGTTGTGTAGTATTGTACTGTACAACACAACTTTCAGATTTCCAACAATGCCTTTCTTGTGACAGGTATATGATGAGTTCAGCTTTGTGTGACTTGGCTAACCTTCTAATTGTGCAACTTACAAGGTTAGATCCTCTATTTTTGAGTAGTTGCAGCCTTTTAATGTTGAATCTGTTTCTTGACATTCCAGGATAATCAACTGATATTTTATTCAGAATAGTAAAATCAGTTTGAGGATCCTGAATGTGAGCATCTGCAATAGTTACAGTCGTCATTCTTTTTGAAAAAAACCAATTGACTTTTCCTAGTGGGAAGATAGAGGGGTGTTTAGGTCGAATGTGCATTCCCAAGTAGGTTAGCTCTGTAAAGGTTTCGGTATGTGGGAAATTATGACTGGGACTATCTGAAGAGAGTTTTTAAGAAAAAAATTACTAGCCTCTAATTTACTTCCTCCTAAAGGAGCTGATTCCTGTTTGGGTACAGTTCCATAGATTAATATTCCCTTATGCACTGTTTTAGTTGTATGTCAACCCAGTCCTCTTTCTGATAGCATTCTATCTATGCTGTTGCTTGGAAATTGGGGCTTTCTGGGGCAGTTGACCATTTTTGTTTCTCGCTAGTACTGTCGTTCTCTAGGCCCAATGGAGACCCGTTTGGCTGCCTGAGGTCATATGAAGGTCATTTTGATCCTTCAAAGGTTGTATGATCTGGGTTTCTTTGTGAATAAAGGAACTTATAACTACACGTTATTGATGATGGATAGCAGACGAAAGTCTTGCAAGGGGGAGATGGCAATGTATATTTCTAGTTTAACCGGCTTGGTGTTCACCATCTCCAAGTTTTATTACAGTTTTGTATTCAGATGTGCTTAATCTGCAATGGCCAGAGAAGTACATGCAGCAGCAATAAATTTCCTTGCAGTACTAGTAATAAATCTTGCAGTACCCATCAACTGAATTAGTAGCATCACAATTGATTTTTGTTGAAATGCTTAATGATTGTGCTGAGGTTAGAGAGATCCAGTCTTTCTTCTTAGGAAGTGCAGCCCTTTGCTGCTGTGCCACTGCATAAAATTTGCAAAATATTGCAGTGGCGTATTATTTTGTCACTTTGTCCAGCTGTTTGCCATACATGTGAAAGAGTATAATTTAAAGTCTCACGTCTTATAGCAGCTGCTGTTTATGTGGCAGCATTTTCTGGCAATTTTATGCATTTATAATTATTCCACTGATGTTGTGCTTTTAATCAATTTAATTTTAACTAGAGTATTTTCACACTTCACTATTTTGATTACTGCACTTTGGGTTCAGGAAAAGATAATTAATGCTAGAGTTAGTCCTTCTTGAAAACTTAATTTTACATTACGGTGGGGAATGTAAAAGATAATACCCAGGTTGTCTTGAAGAGAATGACTGGTTGTGAATATGCCTTTGACTTGTGTTGCTTTTACCTTGCAGTTCTGGAAGTTTTTTTTTAAATAGTCACCGTGTCCCCAGTGTCTTTATATGGCTGCCGTGCTATTAGAGATTGCTTTCCATCACTCAAATAAACAAGCCATATCTATGAGATGCACCTGAAAGCCATGCGACTTTCCTCCTAGCTTTTTATTGCAGTTATTGCTACAGTTATTTGGTGAGCAGAGATCACAAAATTATTCTCATAGTGGTGCTTGTGCATGAAGTCTTAATATTAACGCTGTCGAGACGGCTAGATCAACTCATTCTGACTGCAACCTTTATTGAGTTGGATCTTATGTCCAACGGTAAACGACTGTAGTACTATAATGTAAAAACAGTGCTCTTTGCAGAGATTTATTTATTCAGCAGTGTGAATGAACCAGATTCGAGAGGACTTTGCTGGAAGTCATGTTTACACTGTTGATGATGGTCAGCTAAATGATTGTTTTCTTCTATTGCAGGATCCATCAGTTACACAGGTGACAAAAAATAATCCACCAGGACTGGAGGAATATAATCCTTTCACAGATTCACGAACGGTATGAGAATTCTAATACACCTACAGCATTTTATATCTATGTAGTCTGGGTCCCCAAATTCTAACCTGCCTTGTAACTGTGTAATAGAGCACAGAAACCTAGTCCACAAAAATAACAACTTGCATTTATTTATATAATGTCGTTCACATAGGAAAAGGTCTTGGAACTCTGTTCAGTGGCAGTGTGGGACACTGAGTAAGGGGAGGTTTTCAGGTGGGATTTAAAGATGGCTGGAGAGGGAATGAGCCATAGGGATTGAGGCAGGGATCAGGGGCACAGTAGCTGAAGGCTCAGCAATCGATGGAGGGGTCTGGGGACATGCACTAGGGTTGGGTTAGCTCAGTGCAGGAGGAAGGAGTGTTGCATGAGCATGTCGGAGAGGTCGGGAAGTGCTAGGGTGTGAAGGGTTTGTATCTGAGGATCTTGAAGATCCTTTCGGAGATGGGGAGCCTGGGAAAGTTTGGGGCGATGAACATGCAGAGTTTGGTGCAGTTGAGAATATAGGTGGCTGAGTTTTGGATGAGTTGGACCTTGTGGATAGTAGAAGTAGGGAGACCAGTGAGGAGTGTGTTTGAGAAATCAAGATGACAAGTGTGGATGAGAGTTTCAGCAGACCTCGCTTTCATTCAAAACCCAGACTTATTTCAGATGTTCAGAACCATATCAAATGGGTGTGTGCCCAATGATAGCTCATTTGCAAATTTGTAGCAAGTTTCTGCCTTCCACCACCCATGTAGCTGAAATAGCAGACAAACTGCTCACTTCAAAGATAAGATAGCACTCAATCATTAATGGTTTCAAATTCAAAATGTCTGCATACAGGCTGCAGAACAAAATGCAAAACGTTCTTCAGTATAAAATAATTTAGTACTTGGACTTAATTTGAGTGAACGTGTATTGGTTGGTGTGAAACAACCGGAATGATTTCTCCTCCCGCTCCTGCCCAGGGACCTGCGGATTACCCCAGGGCTCCATCCTTGGCCTCTCTTATCTATATGTTCCCTCTTGGCGATGTCATCCACAGACACGGGGTAAACTTTCACATGTATGCAGGTGACACACAAATCTACTTTGCCTCCTCCAGTACCAACTCTAGATCTGCCAATGTTCTATCAGCCTGTCTGCCAAACATCAGTGCCTGGATGAGCGCAGACTTCCTGCAGCTGAATGTGGACAAGACGGAAACCATACTCCTTTGCTCCCGTCAATGTCTTCACTCCTGCGGATATGAACTCCTCAAGCTCCCTGGGCTCTCCCTCACCAGTGCGCAATCTAAGCATCTGGATTGATGCGCAGCTGTCCTTCCTCCCTCACATCCTTTCCCTAACTAGTACCGCCTTCTTCCACCTCCACCACATTACCCGCCTCCGACCATACCTTACCCCAAATGCAGCCAAAACCCTCGTGCATGTGCTTGCCACCTCCTGCTTGGATTACTCAAACACACTCCTTGCTGGTCTCCCCAGCTCCACTATTCAAAAAACCTAGCTCATTCAGAACTCTGCCCCCCCCCCCCGCATACTGATCTGTACAAAACTCAGTGCCCACATCTCACCAGTTCTGGCCAGCCTCCACTGGCTCCCCATCACTGAACGGTTCGACTTAAAGATCCTCACACTCGTGTTCAAATCCCTTCACTCTCTGGCACTTCCCTACCTCTTCGACCTCCACACTCGCCAATCCACCACCTGGCACCTCTGCTCGACTGGCACCGGCCTCCTGCTTGTCCCTCGCACCCTCCACCCCACTATCGGACATCGCATTTTCAGCCACAACACTCCGAAATTCTGGAACACTCTCCCTCAATCCCTTGGCCTTGCCCCCTCTCTCCCCTTTTTGAAGTCCCACCTGAAAACCTTCCTCTTCGACCATGCTTACGGCCACCTCCGCCCACCTCCACCCCACTTGGAGTCAGGCTCTGGCACTGTTAAGCACTCTGAGACGCTACATAAGAATCACTGTATAAGTGCAAGTTGTTGTGAGAAAAAGATTCTCGGGCACAAATGATTTTGAGTGTAATTGAATGTGAGCACTACATAAAGGCTCAGTGAAATTGTGTTGGTGTACATTGTATGAAATCTACCTTATTATTCCTGTCTTAATATTTATTACTCAGGCACCACCAAGGGATGTTGAGAAACCTCCTGTGCCCAGTACGCAGCCAGCCATTATGAACCCCACAGAAGAGCCACCGGCATATTCGCCACGAGCACAGGCAAGTTCAAATGTAATTGTTACCTAATTTCAGTGGGAATTTGATGTTGGGGGTGCAAACACATCTATAAATAATTTTGATACATGAAACTTTCAATAATAATAATACTTGCATTTGATATAAGTGTCATACCACATGGTCAACTTCTCAAAGCACTTCGCAGGATGTACTGTAAAGTGGATTGACTGTGCATTGTGTGGGTGAACGCAGCAGCCAGTTGCACCCAGCAATGTCCCACATACGGACATGAAGAGAGTCACCATCTTTTTTACTTTGAGGGATTGCTTGTCAGAACACTGGGGAATCTCCCTTCTCTTTTTGACTGGTGCCATTGGGATCTTTAAAGTCGAGCTGAACAGACTCTGTTTAATGTCTCATCCGAAGGATGGCACCTTCGACAATGCAACACACACCCACCACTACATTGGAGTGTCATTTTAGACTATGTGACCTGGGGTTAAACCCACAGCCTTCTGACTCAGAAGCTAGAGTACTACCACTGAGCCAGGCAGACATTTTAACTGGAAGAATCAAATGCAGGAATTCCCACAGCGCTCTGTTTTAAAAGAAACGCCTATGGGTTGATATTAATGTGTCTACCATTTTCGGTGAATGCACTGGTATCCCCATGATGTTCTCAGATATGGGGTGGGCTGGGTGTACTTCCTTGCATGCAACACACTATTTTGGTCTGGTCTGTTCTTTGTTTTGGGTAATCTCTATCCTGTTCTGGGATGTTAATTGTCTTGTGGTGGTTAAAATATCAAGGTTATCGACTAGTTCACTGAAGTTATAGCATGGTTTAAAAAAAGCAGTCAAAATTCAAGTGAATAACATTTCTGTGAAAAGCATCTGAATTTGAAAACTGAAATCCCAGAAGTATCTGACATTTCAGTTCATAATTCTAAATTTGAATATTAAATTTTAGGTAGTTGAATTGAATATCTAATTGGATTACTTTTGTCAGTGTGATGAGGAGCCTACTAAAATGATATAAAAAATGTTTCCCGAAATCCTTTATTTCTTGCTTCAAAGCTTGCTTTATATAATGTTTTATTCGATGCATTTAAATAAAAGTTCTTATTTCATATTTAGTTTTAAAACAACATGGTGGATTTGCTCAGTCTGCTTTGAATCTGCATAGAGTCAATACAGTATATCCCAGGGGTGTCAAACTCTTCTGGCTACAAGGTTAGCACTGTTCATTTAGTGGGCCATACTGTTCAAAAAAATGATACATCATAATGTACCTGAAAATGTCTTGTGTGTGTGTATATTTGCGCATATACGAATTAGCACAAAACATTTCCCCCGCTGCATCAAATTCCTAGTCGTAAAAAAAAGTCTGCAGGTTAATGCTAATTCTCAATAGATAAGTCCAAATATTTAACTTACATTCCAAAAATAAAACGGTTTTTAACATCATTAAAACAAAAAATACTGGCAGGCTATGAAAATGCCATTTAGTACCTCTATGAAATTTAGCTTTCTGTAACTTCTGGACTCTTGGTACTTCTTTAAATGAACCAGTTTTGTGGTATCTGCGCTGCATCCTTAGCTGTGGTTACTTGCAATACGCCAGCCAAGTGTTATTCTGTAAGCCTTGATCTGGCTTTGATTTGTTAAAGCTCATTGTCGAGAAGAGCTGCTTGTAAATGTAAGTGCTTTCAAATAAACTCAGGATTTTGAGTTCAAATTCTGACAATTTAAGGAACTTGTTGACTGGAACATACCGTTAGATATCTTGTGGGGCACTTTGATTTTCAGTGCAAGGGTAAAAATTCAACAGTCAGCTCAATTTGAAGATCTGGCAGGGCTGTTGTCATACCAAAGGTAAATGGATTTGCAAATAATTGAACAACGTTTTGATGAAACTGGAAGTCTTAAAATTGACAATCGTTATGAGACAAACTGACATTAGCAAAATGTTGTCTTGTTTCAGGGATGTTTTAAGCATGCACCTTTTAACAAATTTGTCATCTGTACCAAATATTGAGGAAGCTATTAGGTTTTTGAAATGTTGAAATATTTGTTGTTCAGGAAGCTGCTGCAGCACAGGCTGAACTACTGAGACGTCAGGAAGAATTGGAGCAAAAGGCAGCAGAGCTTGACCGGCGGGAACGTGAGATGAAAAATCTCAGCTATGATCGTATGTATTGTCTATGGGCAATCCTTTCACTAAGTCGGTTTGAGAATCACATTGGCTTGCTTAGCCTAATTAGTTTTTCCTGTTTTTTTGTCTTATTGATAGCGATAGCTGATGTAGTTCATTGATAACAAAATATTTGGGCATAAAAGAACGGAAGATTCAGATAAATAGTATTAAAAGCTTATTCAGGTCCCAGATGATTCACTTGATAAAATCATTGCTTAGCGTGAAACTGAGCCATGCATGCCTGAGGACCCTGGTCTGTGTTGACTCAACTGATGTAAGCCAGAACAGAGTAAATATAAGATTTGATTGCGGTGTTTCTGGGCTAGAGGTGGAAAAATCAGACCAGGTTCCTTCCTGCTTCTATTTATCACTCAGTGTCCCCTGTTGCACACATGTGTTGCTCCCAGGTGAGGCTCAAGTTCAACTGTGATGCTTTCCTCAATTCAGTAACATACCAGAATCTGCTGTCTAGACTAACCTGAACAATTGTTCGCTTAGATGAGGTATTGAGTGTCAAGTGTCTGTGAAACAGAATCTCTTTGTGCCTTCAGGAGAGGAAATTTGGATTCAACATATGTAACAACCATTTACATCAGTTATTAACGCACTTATTCAAAGCAAGCTAACCCAAATAATGAAACAATTTCTCAAAGCTCCAGTAATAACATTTCAGAACAGACTAGAGGTCTCAAGGAAGCTATTGTAGCAAATTGAGATCTTAGTTTGACTGGTCATTGACTGTAAACCTCTTTCTGCTATTCTGTTTCTCTTATTTTATAGTTTAAGAATGTTTTCATGTGTTTCTCAGCTTCCAAAAAAAATTGGTTGTGATGAAAGAAATTGAAGTCAATTTAATGGTACCATGGATAACCTTCATCCAGGATCATAGCATTTCTTGTTGGGAGAAATCTTTTAATTAATCTGCAGCATCAAGATAAACCTAATTATCCAGTATTTTGTGTATTCTAAGCAACTAGTTGATATGGCTATCTTTACAGATTTTTGTAGGGTAACTTAATTTATACTGTACTATTGATGAAAACTCTTATGTATAAGGTGGTGTGTGTGTGGTGGTGGGGCAGGGGGGTGCGAGAAACAAACACTAAAGTTCTATTTACATGATTTTCTTCCTTGAGAAACTTTCTGTGGGATAGGAGAAAGATATTTTGAATTATGCTTTATTCGTAATTCACTTGGAACACAATAAGTGATTATTTGTTTCCTTTTGCAGCTCGGAAGAATAACTGGCCTCCACTTCCTGAACGATGTCCTGTAGGACCGTGTTTCTATCAGGATTTCTCTGTAGACATCCCTGTGGAATTTCAAAAAACAGTGAAGATGCTGTACTACTTATGGACGTGTATGTAAATTTTACTATCACCAAGCTGTATTGGCTCGTAAGATTTAGTTGTTCCACCGCATGGTAGAATAATTGTTGTAATACACTAAACCCCAGGGTAGCTGGACTAATGGGGAGGAGATCTGGTCAGAGCTGGAATTTCTGGCTAAATGTAATTTAAATGATAGTGTAGTTGTTTGACTCCCATGAGCAGAAGGTAGTGAATAAGTTGTCTTCTGCTTGTGGGATTACCAATGAGTTAAAGTCGATATCTCTGGCCACTGAAGGCCAGTGGTGAGGTGGTGGCACGAGCGAGCATAGTTGACTGGCTCTGCGTGCGAGGGTCCGCGGAAATATTTTTCATTTTTATGTTTGAGACCCAGTCCGGCTAAATAGGAATTCTGGATACCCGCAGTCTGATAAGCTGGGGGGTTACAACAACAACATTACATTTGTATAGCCTCTTTCATATTGGGAGGACGTCCCAAGGTGCTGGACAGACAGAGTTTCAGACCTGAGCTGTGGGTCGGAGAGGGTGGAGGGCAGAGGGGGACGCAGGGAGATCGACAGCATGGTCGAAGAGGAGGGTCTTGAGATGGGTCTTGAAGGTGGCAAGGGAGGGGGCGAGGCGGTGGGATGGAGTTCCAGAGGGTGGGGGCAGATTGGCAGAAGGCCGGCCCGCCCGCCAATAGTGGGGCAAGTGAGGTGGGGACTTGTTGCAGGCTGGAGCCCGCTGAGCGGAGGGAGAGAGCAGGATGGTAGGGGGCTAGGAGGTCGCAGATGTAGGGGCGAGCAAGACCGTGGAGGGCTTTGAAGGTGAGGACGAGGATCTTGAACTGTATCCTCTGTAAGATGGGAAGCCAGTGTAGTTGGGTGTGCTTGGGGGTGATAGGTTCGCGGAGCCTAGTGCAGGAGAGGACACAGGATGCAAAGTTCTGGATGATCTGCAGCCTGTGGAGGGAGGATTTGGGGAGGCTGACAAGCAGTGTGTTTGCATAGTCAAGCCTCGACGTATTGAAAGCATGTATGAGGGTTTGGGCGGCCTGCGGTGTAAGACAGTGGAGGAGCCGGGCGACATTGTGGAGGTGGGGGAAGGCAGAGAGGGTCATGGCGCAGATGTGGGGTAGAAAGGGTAGTTGAGGGTCAAACAAGATGCCAAGGTCCTGGACTGGCTTAACAAGGTGGAGTGTGCAACCATGGATGGTGATGCTGTCAATGCCTGAGGTGTGGAGGCACTGACGGGAGCCAATCAGGAGAGCCTCAGTCTTGTTGATGTTCAACTGAAGAAAGTTTGCTCTCATCCAGGACTTGATGTCCGACAGACATTCTGTCAGCACAGCAGTGGTCCTGGAGTCAAGGGTGGAGGCAGAGAGATAGACTTGGGTGTCATCCGCATACCTGTGGAAGTTGACCCCATGTTTGCGGATGCTGTCACCTAGAGGGAGCATGTAGATATTGAAGAGGAGGGAACCAAGGACAGAGCGCTGAGGAACGCCGCATGAGACGGTGCGGGGGCTAGAGGAGAAGCCGTTTGTGGAGATGAAGTGAAGGTGGTGTGAGACCTACAATCTAAACCAGTCAAGGACAGCCGTGAAGGTTGAGGTGAGAGGAGGTGGGTGAGGATAGAGGGAGGGAAGGAGTTTACAAACTTCAGGGCATGGGAATGAATGAGTTAAGATATGAGACCGTGCAATTGAGTTTTGATTTCCATTCTGTGAGGATGCAGCAAAAACTACAGAACCTAATTAGCATATTAAAAATTGCACAGCTACACTCATGACTACTAAGACATAATTGGGAGTTGACTCAAAATTGTTAAACAATCTCAGTTTGGAACTCTTGTGAATGGATGTTTAATGTTTTACTTGTCATCAGCTTTTAGAAATCTAATATTTTTGCACAATCATATTTTAAAATATGAGGTTTTGCAAAATCTCATTTTATGTTTGATCCATGCTTTCAGAATGCATTCATATTCAATTGCTTAAAATGGCACTCATTCAGAATGGTAATGTGGTATTTGCAACTGTCATTTCCAACTATTTTGATCAGAGGAAAAAGAAATCCCTATTTTAATTGTTATAATGCATCCTGAGTAATAATCAAGGCTTTTCTTTACTTCTTCCCCACAAATTATAGACTTCATATGATGAGGTACACAGAGCCCAAAACAAGGCTGTGGGTTTGGATATCAGGAGGACATTTGCTGTCCTTATGTATTTTACACTTTTGTAACCTTAAATGTTTAATCACTGATTTTGAACAACTAATCTACATAACTGAAACAAATAGTTGTGTTGTTTAGGACCTCATAACTATGCATCATATTCACCATTTGTTCTTTTCATCCTTTATTTATTCAAATTCATGTGCCATTTCTCATCTATTGAATTGTTTCAAACTCTTCTGAATATTCTTAACCTGCAATCTACTAATTGACAAATATAAGACCACTTAGCCAGCTTGAGCTTTACAAACACTGTAAATGACAGGGACTCAGAACTTATCCATGTGGATGTTGGTTTCTTCTTCCCAGACAGAATATTTGTCATTTTTAATCAATCCATCTTGTCTTCTGAAACAAATTGTGAATCCAGTTTTCAATTTTTTAAGCTATCAAGTATCTTTGTCCCATCCTTATCCAATTTGCCAAGTACTAAAGTAATTCCACAGTATGTCCTCTCCCGCACCAAGCTCTGTGAACTATCGTGCTCCTTGCTCAGCTCTCCCTTCCCCAGTGTATCAAATTCAAGATTCTCACCTTCAATCACTCAATCTCGCCCTACCCTATCTCCATGACCTTTTTCAGTACAACTGACCCAGCCACTTCCTTACCTTGGTGAACACTAGCCCTGCTTCATGTCCCCTGCCCTATTTGCCCTACCATCAGTAGGTGAGTTTTTTTTCGCCATTCTGCCTGTATTCCCTTGAACTCCAACCCAGAGATTCCTCTGATTCTCTCCCTGCCTCTCTCCTCATTCAAGGCACCTCTCAACATGCCATTCCACTGGCCTCCCATCTCCCTGGGTTACGGTCATCGATCCCCTGCAAACCTCCTTCAGCTTCCACCCCATCTTGGGTGCCTAGGCACAGTGTAAAGGGCTTTGAGACATCCTCCTGATGTGAAAGGCTATGTAAATTTTAATGCAGTACATAACATTAGTGTGTTTCCCAAATTTGGCCACTGGCTGGTGCTGCAGAGAGCTACATTGAGTATTGTACATTGATGTTCTGCACGATTCCAGTGGTCAGACTCTGGTAATTGGCCTCTTTACCTTGCTGTTTTGAAGTAACTTGGGGTCACTAGTGCTAGGTTAGCACTCCCATTAACATGGGACAGAATTAACAGTAGTAATAGTAATATGGAATCAACTGCCAAAATTAAACTGATATTTGAGTCCCCAAATCTTCCTCAATATCTGTGGAAGCCCTTAGAGTTCAGCAAACGTAATATCACATTACTGCCCTTTTTTAAAAAAAAGACAACAAGTCATGATTCATTTCATCCCGAGGAGGTGGTATCTATCACCTTGGACTGAATGAGTAAACCAATTAGTTTTAGTACTCTTTGTTGGTATAATACTGACCTTCCCGATTGATTGCACTCCCTCACCTGAAATACCATGAAAGTAACCTGAAATTCAATGCTTGTGTTGTTTTTTTATTACCTCCAATCTGTACAAAATGCAAGTGACCTTTCCCTGGAAACGTACAAATCAACAACCACTTGCATTTATGTAGGGCCCTTCATGTGTCTTGGAGCACTACTGTTGTAGTAACTACCCTGTATTCAAACTTCATATAAATCTATATTTTACTGATTTGGGGTATAAGTGCATAAGGATCCCAATAGACATCACTTTAAAAAAAAGTGTTTTGTTTTTAATTCTGTGGCGTTTGAGTGTACTACTTGGATGCATAACAGAGGCCTCTGGTCTATTGGAGGGCCAAAATATGGCCTCCCACTCTATCCTGTCACAGGATAGTGGAAGGTGGAGAGGAAGGCCATAGCACCGCCCTCCAAAAGAGCAGAGGACTCTGTAATGCAATTGAGCATACACTTACCTACAAACTGCCATCAAGCACCTGCACCAGCCACATAGTAAAGCGGGAGGCCTCTGAGATCAAGACACGTAATAGGACATGTTATCCGAAGTAAGTACTTATGAGAATTTCTAGAATATAACTAGTTACATATTAAGCGGAGTCCCTTATTAACATTTTGCATTGGAAGCAGCCGAGATATTGATAGTATAGCTACTTAAGGGGTAGTGACAAGTTAAACCAGGGTCCTATCAGGAATTTACTGTATACTGTTCGACTATATATTTTGCAGATATGGTTCTAGTGGGGAACTGCCAAAGACAATAGACCTAATAAATCATTTGATGTGCTTCTAAAATTGTTTTACCAATTAGCTTAACTTTGTTCTTTTCTTTCCGCAGTCCACGCAGTAACGCTCTTTCTAAATATGTTTGGTTGCCTAGCCTGGTTTTGTGTCGATAGCTATAGAGGGGTGGACTTTGGATTGGCAATTCTCTGGTTCTTGCTTTTTACCCCGTGTTCATTTATTTGTTGGTACAGACCACTCTACAAAGCTTTCAGGTTAGTAAATTGCAAAATTTTAATATAATTCTAGTGTTTCAAAAGGTGAACTTCATGTTGTAAGGTATGGTCACTGAATAGTGACTATGTCAGAGGGTGAGAGGGATTCTGATAGAATCATTGGCCTCTGTTTTGAACTTCCTAATTTTCTGCTACAAAATGGTAGAAAACTAAATATCTTTTGGCTTTGGAAATAGTATTTGATGTTAAAACAATCTTAACAGTGAAGAGGACCTTTGTTTAAAAATGGTTGTGAGAGTATTTAACCAAGTAGCATGATAAAATATTCCCATTGGAATTGTGCTTAGAGATTTGAATCACAAGAATGCCTGATTTTCATTCCATCATTTGCTTGATCAGCAAAGGCTGATGAATTCACCTCCAGAGAGAGGCTGAAGAAACTTCATTTGGATTTTAACTGTTCATGGAAATGTGTGTGGCTCTATCTGGTCTGCTCGAATCTTGCAAATTTCCAGATATCTGGAGAGGTTATAGCTTCAGGAATATTGTGTCTCTGTCTACAAAATAACTTGTAGATTTATGATGAAAATGTTTCTGAACAGTTGAATTGATTGCGGTCAAGTATAGTCATTTTTTTTTGTAGGCAGAAGTAGCATCGTTTTGTGTTAACAATATCCAACAAACAACCATGGAGTTAAATCAATTAATTGGGAGGACTATTGACCAAGACAGATTGTTGAGAAACCCCATTTTTTAAAATCGGGTCATAAGAGATTCATCTGCAGGAGCAGATCTTAGTTTAAGATCTCACCCGAAAATCTACATTGTGAAAAACCTTTAATTATATTGGGAACATTCTAATTAAGATTTGTTGTTTTGCAGGAGTGACAGTTCCTTCAGCTTCTTTCTCTTCTTCTTTACATTTATCTGTCAGTTTGCCGTGCACGTATTGCAGTCGGTAGGAATTCCACAGTGGGGAAACTGGTGAGTGCTATTACCAAAATTTCAGAATCATTTCTAGGTATGTTAATGCAACGGCATTATTAGGATATTGAGACAAATGCATTCCCTCTGCATAGAGGCTTGAGAGTGTTTATGATGTGTATGAGGAGGTGGAGGGTACAGAGAAGAGGATGGTGAAGAATATATGAAGTAATTGAAAATTGCATTCCAAATCCTAAAATTTGTTTTTTTTAAAAAAAAATTTTTTTTGAAGTTTCTTTGGTGCATAAGCATTTGGTGGGGCCTGTAACTCAGTGTATAGAGCACTCTCCTCACAAGCAAGAGACCTGGGTTCAATTCCCAGCAGGGTGAAATGTTGGGCAAGTTTCCTTACTCCACACCCCTCTGTTTACCGAGCAGTAAGTAGGATCCTGACTGTTTGTTGATTGGCAGATCTCTTTTCTGGGAGTAATGATTCCTTCAAAAAGAATAAGAATAATAAATTGATCACTTCAATCCACGAATGTTTGTGGGACACTGCTGTGCGCAATTGGCTGCTGCATTTCACTGACAAAATATACAGTCAATTCACTTTACAGCATATTCTGTGAAGTGCTTTGAGACCTCTCAACAACATGATAAGGCGCTACAATCAAATGCAAGGATTATTATATACATGCATTATAGAAAATCTATAGTGTTAACGGCTGCATCAGTTTGGTATAATAGTAGTGAATAACAGTTTAGCTGCATAATAGGATTTAAAATTTGTGGAATTTAATCAGTAATGTATACGTGGATCTTTACTTTTTCAGTGGATGGATTTCAGCACTTACAGCACTTAATAAGAGCATTCCTGTTGGAGTTCTGATGATGATTGTTGCAGCAGCTTTTACTGGCTCAGCTGTTGTCTCACTAATTATGTTCAAAAAGGTAAGTAACCTCTACAGTGCCTTTGCAAAAATGCTGCGTTTGCAACTCTGTGTGTACTTAAACTTCCCAAACAGCGAACTAATCATAAAAATTGTTTACCTTCCATAAGTTTGCATTTCTTATTTTAAATGTATATCATTTTTGCTTGAATGTGGATTTTTTTTAATTTGCTAGAAGGAGCTGCTTAATATGATTTAAAATTAGTGGCGTTAATACAGTAATATATATATACATGAAATACCAAAGATTTAAAAAAACAAAAATGGGAAAATCATGATATGACTCCTGACTATAATTTAAGGCTTTCATCTAATTGAGGCATTAAGCTGATGTTTATGGCTTTGATCTGGTTGCTTTGACAACCCTAGGTTAGTTGACTAGCTTGAAATCATTCCACATTTCTTTCAACTTTTGGGGGGAAATTTTACAAAGAGCAGTGACAATAATAAATGCCAAAAAGAGAGAATTTAATGCAGGTTGGAATTTTGCAGTCTACACGGAGCAGGGAAATAAGATTTAAAAATGTTAGTCCAAAGTATGGCCATAGAGATGTTTTTTTCTAGGTATTTGAGGTCAAGAAGATAAGTTCTGAAAGAGTTGTTTACCGTATACCATTCTTTGGTCCAAAGAACCAAACTAATAGATAATCTGGGTCTTGCCAATGAGCTTGAGTCAAGGGGTATGTTTTACAGTCAATTTCTAAAAATATCTTGAAAACAAATTTCAAATGCATTAGTTTCTTTGTAAGTTGAACAGATTTGTGGTAAAACTGTTTACTTTCATGAGTTGTAAGAGATGAGCTGATCATTCTGTTTTGATTATGTTGTGGATAATACCTTTTATTAATAGGGCATAATGTTTCACTGGGTCTTTTCAGTAGGTGGCAGTCTAGTCTCAATTGTGGACCATAGCAGCTTGCTATATTTTGCTGTTATAAAAATGATTTATCTGAGGAGTTGTTTGAAGATTAAGTAGTTATTGGTATCTGGTTTACTTGAAAGAGAAGGCAGAAGTACAGATCTTCAGAGGGGAGAAAGAGCATATGTACTGGTAATAAAGAGGAGAAACAATCCAAGAGGTTACTACAATAACTGGTTACAACTTACACTAGAGGGAAAAAATAATGATTTTGTTTAGTAATTGTGTAGATGTATTTGTGTTCGACAGACCCAAAATAACTTTGCTTCAGCAAGGGTTGATTTTGCAAGAATAATTTGAGAAAACTATTAAATGCATCTAAAATGTTGTATACAGAAACCTTCCCTCAAGAACTGACTTCTTAAATGTTAATGAAAGCATTTTGGTACATTAGAGCATGTTTTGAGGATTTAATGGATTTATTTTAATACAAAATAAATTGCCTTTTATAATGAGAGAAATTTTCTTTTAAATGTTATCCTTATTGGATGATTCTAAGTGACGGGTAACATGAAATCTAGGATGGTATAAGCTAATTTAACATTTGATTTGTATTGAGGCATTAAGGTCATCTTAGTCTCTGCAAGAAGATGATAGTGTGTTATTTGCAAATTGTTTCAAATTAAAAATGAGATGTGTGACCATATTTATCACAGTTACAATGAAAGAATAAACTAAATCTTGAGCCAATATTTTAGAGTGGAGGCAATTGCCATTCACATCTAAGGACATTTCTTAAGTGTTACTGATCAGAAATGTTGTCGGATGGGAGGTGAGGTCCATAAAATTCTGACTGGTGCTATAACAGAACGTGTAATCAGTCAATGCTTCAGCATTTACTGTGCATGTGCACAGGTATGTGGTCAGCTGTGTCAGCACTTCAAAATTTCTCTCATTATAAAAAGCAATTTACTTTGTATTAGGATAAATTCGTTAAATCCACAAAACTCTGGCCAGCATTTGAAGTTCCAATGGAGCTGGTGTACATTTGGGATTTCTTGGGGAAGTAAATGTCTAGATCGATACTCATGTTATAATAGGAATTCTACTGTATAGCTTTCTACTTCTAATGCTCCCAAAACTGGTTCAATGAGAATAGACATCTTGAATGAAAATTGAACAGATTGTTAAGATTTCAATACTATCGTGCTGTATGGATGATGGCTATATTCCAAGCTTTTTGAAAATTTATATTAGAACCTAAAGTAGCAGTTTTGGTTTATATGTTGTATTTGGCCTTGACGATCTTGTTAGGATGATAGAAACTAGAACACAGAAGGAAGCCATCCTGCACCGAACCTATCCTGCCTGGTATTAGCTCCTCTACTGAAGCTGTTACTCTTAATCCCAATTACCTGCTGTTTCCTTGTGCCTTTTTTAATGTGTATTTTAACAATTTCTTAATTGTTGTGGTCTCAGATTCAATAACTCCTTGTGGCAAATACTAGTTAAAAATTATTTTCCCTCTCAGGTTCATGGCATGTATCGTACCACAGGAGCCAGCTTTGAAAAAGCCCAGCAAGAGTTTGCAACAGGAGTCATGGCGAACAAAACTGTACAGACCGCTGCAGCAAACGCAGCCTCGACTGCAGCTCGTGGCGCATTCAAAGGCAACCAAATTTAAGACCCAGTAAAATCATTTCTCTCCCCCGCCATCACCTTCATCTAGTCCATAGACGTTATACCACTTCAGTCATTACACACATACCAGCTTCTAACATGATTTCACCATAACCACAGCATGAACCTTAAAACGAAAAATCCATGTAGCCCTTGAATTAGGCTTTCGCATGGGCTAAAAAAAACTAATAAATCGTACTTTTACATTTGCTTGACAAATGTCACATTTTCTGTTTAAATTGTTTTACTTTCCCTGGTTGGTATGGATTGTTCTTACTGGCTATTAGTTTTTTTTTCTCTTGTAAAACTGTAAATAGCATGCTGTCACTGCTTTAATATTATACTCCCAAATTACTGGAGATCCTTATGTTTTCTGTGCTACACTGGACTGATAACTGACATGGTTCTTTTTGATTTGCACGCGACTTTGTGACAAATATGATCTTGGAGAATTGTGAGGAATGTGCTGCCAGAGTACATGGGATTTGAAACTCTTTTATTTCTCTTTTCAAGTCCCTCCCCCGTGAAACATCTGTAACTGCCTTATAAAAAGCACTATCAAATGACAATGTCAAATTTCATTTATTTGTTAACGTTTCACTGATCTATTTTATTGCACAACTAACTGAAAATTGGTGGCATCATTCTTGTGATTTTATCACTATGTTCAGTTGTTAGTTTACTATTTTATTTAAATAATTGTTGAATTGTGGACTGTGGTACAGTGTCACTCATCATTGCAGAATACATGTAGAGAAAACACTAAATGCTAACACTGGACATCTAAATCTATTAGATCATGTGTGGTTCAGGGTGGTTTTGATCTTAACTGAAATCCCTTTTGATTTTAACCTGCGAGCTGATCAATTGTGAAGCTTACATGGATAGATCACAATTGAATTGACTACTTTGCTTAAAAAGAGATATTGCGTGAGTGAAGCAGCAAATTAAACTCCTGTTAAATTTGCCAGTTTGTGGGTTGATGAAACCTTCTAAAGCTTACAATCTAATTATTGCAGTTGAATGATGTTTCTGTGTATGAGCCTTTTTTACAGGCCTGTCCCAGAAGCTCTGTTGCATGTAGTTTTTGTTCAGCACCATTGGTGAAATTCTGCAATCCATTTTTTAAAAAGCATTGACCAAACTGCACAAAAATCAATGCTATTCCTTGAGATGAACATGGACCTCAAAGAGGATCATAAGGCTTAACTTTTTTTATGAAGTTAAGAGCATTCCTTACCATTTGACATGAGCTGGTAAGTTGAGTACAAAGCATACACACTTCGTGAAAAAGGGAAGTATACAGTTAAGTAATTTATGGAATTCTTCCACATTTAAGTCGATGTAAAAGTGCTTTACAGATACAGATGTTTTCAAAAGCAGATTCCAGATTTTAACACCTATGGTTTTGTTGTACAGTATTTTGTGTGTGGATTGTGAATGCTTTATTTTTGACTTCTGCAATTCTGGTGATTATGTGGTGTGAAGGTGCGATTGTTCAGTGTACATCTTACAGATTTCTACACTGTTGGAGTTGGCAGAATGTACGCCTTCCATTTTAGTTTGTTTTAGAAAAGCCTTTGAAGTGAGCATTTGTGTGTCACTCATTCCTTGTCCGTGTTAACTTCTTACCGTTGAGTAACAACTAACGGTACATTGTGATGGTCGGGTGAGCCACTCAAAAGTGTTTTTCGTTGCCCCCCTCACCCCCCAAATTCTGTCATGGGTTTAACATTTATGTCCTGAAATACTGTATTTCAAGATAAATGTATATACCGTACTGCTTTGTTCCCCGAGGGTGGTTGTGATGTTTTTCCACAGAAATTCTACCAAATGTGATTTACATAAATGTTGGAAATTAATATTGCATAAAAGAATGTCCCAGTGTCAAGGCTCTGAGATAAACAAAAATCGAATTTAAAAGTCATTGCTGTTTTAATTTTCAATGCTTCAAAGTTTTGTGTGTTTAAAAAAAATAAAGATGTTGCCATTCATATTCCATCACTGAACTTAAATTACCACTTGTAGAAAGATTGAGGAAAGGTGGAGATTATTAGCTTCAACACTACACAACATTATGTGCAGCTGTCAGTAAATGTGACACCAGCTATTTTTCCAGGATTCGGAGCTATTATTTTGCAATGGATAGGTTAAATGCTAAAACTTCTGTAATTTTAAAATTCATATCCAAAACATTGAACAATTGTGCATTGCCCAATCTTTACTAATGAAGGGCCAATTCCTTGTTGGCAAGTTTTTTGAATCAATTTGGCAGCTCAAATATTTTCTCTTCCACATGTAGAAAAAGATGTTTTAATTATTTCATTCAAATGTTGGAGTTATAAAAAAATTAACTGCAATATTAGGTTATATAACGGTTCTGACCAAATGCACTAGAGATTTGGGGGCTAAATGTTTACAATTGGCTTTTTAAAGATCAGAGACTTCTCTTGGGTGAATTGCCTTTAGCTGGTAAGTAATTGTCAAATGTAGTTGGGCATTAAAAAATACTTTCATTTTTGTTTAAATATAGCATTTTAAAACATCTTCACAATATAAAAGGCCCTGAAATCATCTTATGATTTTCTTTGTCATTACTGTATTCAGTACATCACATAAGAAAATAGGTCATTCTGTAAATGGAGTACTTCACAGAATATACTTCGCAAGTGTTGTGGTGCATCATAACTGAATTGTGATCCGTGTTTTGTGCATCAATCAGTTGTGATGAGCAGTTTTTATATTAACAGTATTTTGAGAAAATGCTGTTACCCCTCATTAATGTTGATGGCAAAACCCCATAGCAAATATTTGAACAAAAGTGAAGTAACATTCTCTTCTGGGCTCTCGGCAGTGCTTGCACTCAGTGAGGAGCTCGGTTTGATTTTCTTTCAGAATATTGAAGGCTGCTGTTTAAACAGTGGATTACGTGTGTTAAATATGACGTATTGAAAATATGACTTATTGACTAGATTGAATTGTGTTACTTCTGGTGTTGATAGTTATATTTATAGATTTTTGGAAATTTGTATTTGTTTTGAGTTGTGAAAAACTACAGGCGTGATGAAGAAAACTCGTGTATGTTTCTGTGAACAATGGGGCAGTGTTTGTTTTTATTGATTTAAAAGTGTTGAATATAGTGTTATTTTTAACCTGCATGTGAAGAATGAGATGAAGTCCGAGCTAGTTTAATGAAGTGGTTGAGTGTAAGAAGTAGAACTATAATAACCTTTCTACATTTAATAATGTAGAAAGAAAAAAACTAATCTTAAGTGGGAGCCGGTGCCTAATTATGAATCTGTAATGGACCCTCTTAATAGCCTTCTGCTAAGCACTCAAACAAATGGTGCGAGAGGTACAGATAATGCTGAGGAACAGTGGAGAAATTGTTTGTTGATCCAGGAATTCCATCTTGCTTACTGAATTTGAAGAAATGAGAGAAAACCCTTTTGCAGTGAAGCCTTTTTGCTTTCAAAAATATGTAGATTTCTCCTAGTTGTAAAGTGTTGAACTAAGTTTACTGGGAATGATCCAATGCTTTTCACTCCATTGTGTATAATTAAACACAAGGCGTAGCAAAGCGAGTAAAATTAGAGTGAGGAGGAAATTGGAGGTAGAACTGCAACTGAAATCAAAGCTGCGAAACAGTATGAAAGAAAACCACGCACAAACAGTATGCAAAAAAACTAAACATTAAATTGAAATTCTGAACATAAAGCAAGAAAACTGTAATGCAACACTGAGACTGGGGTTCCTATGTTCAATCCGTGGTCTGTGCTGAGTGACCCGGTGATTGTAATGATTTCCACTTCCACTAATGGCCACAGTATTGCTGAGCTCAGATGGGGATAATCAACCAGGATCCTGTTCGGAGCATTTCTGTTAATTTTGGAATCGACCTCTGAGGTAAATTCGTCCATTGTCTCACAGTATCCTGATACCCAATGCCCAGGCTCAAATATTCATATAGAACAGCTGCTTGTGAAAGGTACTACAAATTGGTGCCTTGCACAAAATAAAATTGAGCAAAGTTGCATTATTTCAAGCTAAAGGAGTAAACTGTGACAAAAGTGCTCTTATTTGAGTATAATGCAATCATGATTCAGCTCTCCATGGAAGTCATTTAATTCACATAGGATGACCATCATAGCGTATATCATTTATTACAGCATCAGGTTAGGTGAATATCGAGAAACCGAAGAAATCCTGCATATTATTGTGTTAGGAAGGGTTGACTTAATTCAGCAGTTAAACACCAAAACCTACCAAGATTAGCATGTTTTGTTCATTTTTTTTGTTGTAAACTTGATTAATATTAAAACTACAGTGTTGGTGATATTGTTAATACTGATTTTTTATGTTGTTTGATTATGTGCACAGTTAGTTTGGTTTGTGTGGCAGTAACATTTCAATGGGAGCGTGCAAAATAAAAAGCTTTTTAGAAAATTCTTGAGCAAAATGAAGTAAAATCGTTTGATCTTTTCATCTGACCTGAAGAAGCTGTATTTCACAATTACAGTATTTCTATTCCATATACATTTCAGAAAGGTACATTTATTACATGGTCCCACATCAGCAGAGTAGGTCTCCATACTTGCTAGAAAAAACTGTGGAAGCAAACTACTACAAGATTCTTTTGTGCTTCATTTTCTAAGTAACTTTTATAATACATCTTGTGCAGACTTAATTTTGTGCTGTAGAAGTGTAAGGCAAGTTTTTTTTAAAAGAAGCTGGTTTCGTAAATTCTTGACTGCATGGGTAATGCCTCTCAAGTTTTTTGACATGTGAGGAGATTAAGATACTGTACTTTCAAATGGAGAACTCCTGACAAACAAAAATCTGAGAAACACATCTGGTTTTCTCCCTGCCTAGACAGCTGTGTGTTAAAGTCTTCCATCACTATTAGCTTGCATTTAGCAGTTACTCTGCTACTAACCCAATGACTGAATTGCATAGAAATAGGATGCAGTGGATACTGATTCTCACCATGTGACTTAATACCTGAATGTCACACCAGATGGTTTGAAATGGCTAGTAGCTGAGAATTATTTTTTATATTTAAAAAAAACAAGGCTAGAAAGCTACAGGTGCAAATGCAGGTCAAGTTCTGTGGAATCTGTTTGAAGAGTTGTGGAAATCACAAAAAACAGTACATTACCGATGCTTGAATCTAAAAATGTGCAAGGAACTCTATTTCAGAAAAGGATCATATTAAGTGATGCAATATCTGATGGTTAAGGGATTTTCAAATGTGTTTCGCGTTCATATTCTAATTGGACAGAATTAACAAAGTTCAGTTTGTACAGAGCTGCCTCACACTTCAGAATTCTGTTTTGTATCTGATTTCCAAAGATTATGGAATAATTAAAAAGTAAAATCTGCTTTAATAAGTGGTTGATAAAGTTACTTTATTTAAAAAGTAAAGTATTGAATAAATGTAACCCGTGTTTACCCCTCTCACCATGAAAGGCTGATATTGCCCTTATAGTTTGTTCATTTGATGTGTTCTCGAACTGAAACAAATTTGATCTGAACATTTACAAGGCATTTAGTTACAACGTTACTTGAAGATGTAGATTTCCAAGGTCATTTTGCAATTGAGGGTTTGGATCTAGTCAAAGTGAGAAATATTTATTTGTATATTTTGTAAATGACTTGACATTCTGCTGTTGTTTTGAGTTTCAGTATACTGTACAAATGCACTTGCTTTATGCCCTTCCATTTAGCATGTCTTGTAGTTCCTTAGTTTTGTATATAATATATATATATATGTTCTTGTAGCATTACAAGGTCTCAATAAAAAATGCAACCCACTGAAACACGGTCCCAAGCACTCCTATTTTTGTTGCTTTCCCCCTTCTTAGGGTACTTGATAGATCTACCAACCTAATTTGAAGATACTAGGTCAGAATGTCTTCTTTGCATTCAATTCTTATTTCTTTGGTTTCAGAAAAAATCTCGCATTAGAAATCGAGAGGTGTTTCTAAATTGTGAAGGCTACAAAATAATAAATAATCCTCAGAAGCCTTATCACATGTTGAAACATCTCAAAGTGCTTACAGTTTACCACACCAAAATGCCAGATTTGGAAATGCTGCCTCATTTATCTTAACATATTCCATGATCGTAGTAGATAGCCCAATATTTTAATAATTTGGGTGTTTCCAGAGGGCCATATGTGTTTTAGCTTGTTCTCAGACTTAAAAACACTTTATACCTGGAGATCGTTCAGATGTGGTTACATTTAAGATACAAACCAAAGTTATGGCATTAAAGGATTTAACAAGGGAGGATTAAACAAATTTAATTAATCAGGCGATCTTGGAAAAAATTAAGAAAAGTACAACTTGATAGGTCACAATCATTTATTTGCTTTTATTATTAAACTTGGTAGCTCATGTGGAGATAACACACCAGCATGGACTTAATGGGTAACTGGCCCATTTCTTTCTGTTGTATCATTTTATGATTCTATTACACACCATAAAGGGTAATTTCTATAGTCTTCTCCCATAACTATTCATTCCACAGTTGGTAATGAACCCTGATGCTGCTTGTATTGGAGGTTTGACAAATTGAGTGGTGGTATCACTGAAAAGGTGGGTCCTGTCCCTACCTCACATCCACTCTCAGTACTTTTAGCAAAAACCCAGATGATGGTTAAGAATAGGAAGCTTGGCCAAATCAGCTAACTCCACTCCATCCATAAAGTAATTGAATGGTTTATTGGGAATTGCTTGGTTAAATATAGTTAGCTCCTGGTAACTCTTCACTCCAAAGGAAAATGGTTCAGTGATGAGTTATCTGGAATGGCATATGTTTAAGTCATAAATAAATGTGACCGGGATAGCTTAAAACTGGTTGAGTTATCAGGAGGAACAAATAAAGCAGGTTTATTTTCAAGTATCGTAAGTAGCATGCCCCCCATGTGTAAATACATAGATTCAAACCCTTTTTGAGTGAGATCAGATGCTCTTACCTGAGGCTACAATCGTACTTAATCCTATTGCTGCAACTGTGTAGGGCCCTGGTGAGACCACACCTGGAATACTGTGTCCAGTTTTGGTCTCATTTAAGGAAGGAGGTACTTGCCTTGGAGGGGGTGCAGCGTAGATTTACTAGGTTAGTGCCAGGGATGAAGGAGATGAGTTACGAGAATAGGCTGACCAATTTGGGCCTATATTCTCTAGAATATAGAAGAATTAGAGGGGATCCTTTAGAAACCTATAAGATCATCAAAGGGCATGATAGAGTAGATAGTGGGAGATTATTTCCCCTGGTTGGAGAAACTAAAACCAGGGGTCACAACCTTAAAATCAGAGGCCAGCCCTTTCGCACTGAGTTGAGAAAGAACTTCTTCACTCAAAGGATGGTGAATGTATGGAACTCACTACCCTGAAGGGCTGTTGAAGCTCAGTCCTTGAACGTATTCAAGACTGAGATAGATATATTTCTTATTGCAAAAGGATTAAGGGATATGGGGATAAGGCAGGGTCAGGTTATTAGCTGTAGTTAGATTAGAAGATCAGCCATGATTGAATGGCAGGGCAGGCTCAAAGGGCCGAATGGCCTACTCCTGCTCCTATAAGTTATGTTATTGGAGTGTTTTCTTTCCCCTCCTACTTCTTTAAATTAGGTTGATGCCCTGACAGTGCATTCTGTACACTATTTGGGTCAAACATGAATGGATCAGGCAATATCATAATTTGCTGATGCATTTATTACCCACTCATTGATGTGTATTAAATTCAAAGTTTGGCCAAGCAATAAAATTTTTCTTTCAATGTACATAATCTAAGGCATTGAGACTCCTCTAAATAATCTTTCACCAAATCAGCTGTTCAAAGCTTTCCAAAGCTCTCTGTTTGCAATTTAGGAATGAAGATTTGCCAGCACTCGTATTTTGAAAAATGATTTGAGTATCAACTCTTTGAATGACTTGCCAAATTGTGTGTTTTGGAACAATTCCATACAATCAAATGTTGATCTCTCTGCAGTTATTTATCATACATCAGGTAAAATTATGTATCAGGAAAGCACCTAAACCAGGTTAAAGTATCTTGTTCGTTCCACAAGAGAAATCTAGCGTTACGACTCCTGTTTGAAATCTAAAATGCAAATGTTTATTACAAATGATTCTTACCAGTTCCTGGAACTACCATGGCAACAAAACATCTCATTTGAGTTGGCTAATTGCTGCTGTTGATGTGAGCATTTGTTTCAAACTAAACAATTTTCCTGCATGTGAAATTGGAAAAAAAAATTATGACATGCTCAAAATTGCTTGATTCAACCTTCAATTATGTTTTTGTTCACCCTTTGTTCTTCTCATTATCCCCCACCCACATTTTGATCACCTGCCCGATTTCAGTCGATCTAGGAGAGAGCAAATAAAGGAGGTATCCTTTAGATTCTGATTCAGTGTCATTTCCAATTGCTTTCGAGGCAGGGTGGATCGCTAGCAGCAGCTCCAAGCCAGCATCTCACTTTTGTGGCCAGTGCATGAAAGATCAGTATCTCTACTCAGTACACAGGTCGTCAAGGCCAGAGTTGTTTCTTACAAAGGCTCTTCAGAAGTTGAATGATGAAAGATAACTGGGATTCTTTATTGTTTGTACCTTTGTAAAGTAATACTGTAAAGTAATACTGGTATGAACCAATTCCAGAAACGCCTTTTGGAAGGTCAAGTCCAGTTTTATTCGACAAACCTGGCATCTTTTTTGCCTTTCCTGGTGCACATTAATCTATTTTACACACTTCATAAAAAAAAAACCATGCACTCTTGAGTTAAGGTCACATAATGTATTTAGACTATTCTGCCTGCCTTATGTTTTCCAGATATTTAGATCAGGCTCCGTGACCCCATCACTCCCACCCTCGCCCGACTCCACTGGTTCCCCATCCCTCAGAGGATCGAATTCAAGATCCTCGGCGTCACTTTCACGGCCATCCATGGCCTTGCCCCCTCCTACCTCTCTGACCTGCTGATTCCCTACCAACCTGCCCACTCCCTCCGTTCAGCGGGCTCCAGTCTGCTCCATGTATCCCACCCGATCCGCCCTACCATCGGTGGCTGGGCTTTCAGCCTCTCTGCCCCCACACTCTGGAACTCCATCCCACAGTCCCTTCACCTCGCTTCTTCCCTTGCCTCCTTCAAGGCCGGTCTCAAGACTCTCTTCGATCGTGCCTTCAGTTGCCCTCCCACCTCTCTGCCTTCCCTCACCCCTACCCCACCCCTCCCCCACGCTCGGGTCCTGACCCCTGACTGTCCAGCGCCTTGGGATGTCCTCCTGACATGAAAAGCACTCTATAAATGTAATGTTGTTGTTGTTAATGTCCCAGAAATTGCATTTACTCTGAATTGGTTTAGTCAGAATATGTCTGTATACTACAAAAACAGGAGCCTTAGCCTTATTCCTTATAAAGCATTGTCAGAATGCTACATGATACAGTTTGATTTTCTACTTTCTGCCCAATATCACGGCATATATTTGATGGAAACGGGGGAAAAAAGAGATGAAGTTTCTATAGTTATAAATCTGAGAAACGTCTTTGTTTCCTGTGAGGACAAAAACGGGATTTTTCCGTCTCCACACAAAAGCTTCATTTCCCTCTGTTGCCACTTTCTCACAAAGAGCAGAAATTCAAAGCCAATGCTTCTGTGGGGAGGGGAGGATTGGTAATTGTGCTGTGTTTGTGGATTGAGTGAGATCTACATTTGTGCTTGTGTGCGTTAAATTATTTGCATAATTATTCATAGTAGTCTACTTGAGATTGATTTTGGTATAACTTTGGGGACGAGTTCCCTGCTAAGGGATGACAAGTGCACCCAAAAGAAGACGAGAATATAAACTATAAGGAACAATAAACTAATTTCTGTCTACTGAAAGCATGAGAAACGGATGGTTATTAAGAGTTGTCTGATCTGCTCTCCTTCTGGATCAGTGCATAAACGCACAGCCTGAGGGGATGCTGAGGCAGATCTGAAAGAGCCATGATTTAGATGCTGTGCTGGCCTTTGCTGAGTTTGCTGTTGTGAGCTGGAGCCTCACTGGGTAACCAGTGTCTGAATCTTGTCAAAGTTAGAGTGGGCTAGACATAAAAGATACAGTTTTATTCTCACACTTTAATGTCAAATTGAGGTTTCACAAAACCTATGTTGCATTCTATTGAGGCAGCTGTTTCAGAAATAAAATCTGTTACAATATTATAATAATCCTTGTATTTGATATAGCACCTTATCGCGTGTTTGAGATGTCTTAAAGCATTTTGCAGAATATACTGTACAGTGAATTAATTATATATTTTGAGCCAATTGCGCACAGCAGTGTCCCACAAACAGTCATGGATTTAGTGACCAATTTATTATTTTTTGAGGAATTATTATCCCTGGAAAAGTGATCCCCCAATCGACTAACAACCGGGTTCCTACTTACTGCTAGGTAAGCAGGCATGTGGAGTAAGAAAACTTGCCCAACGTTTTGGCCTGCCAGGTCTCTCTCTCTCGTGCGAGGCGAGTGCTCTAACCACTAAGCTACAGGACTCCATGAAACTTTGATTCAAGTACATTCTCATAGATTCCTAACCTTTTTCCCTAAGAACCAACAATTTTGATATTTGGGCTATGATTAAGACTAGAAAGTTGGAAAAATTTAGCGCTTTTATTAAAGAGCCAGTTTGTTTTTAAAGTTCAAGGAGTCTTCAAGTTTCTTGACATTCATGTTTTTCTTTAACGTTCTCTTGCAAAGCTTCACTAAACCAAAGAGTGTAGTGGAAGATTGACCTGAATATTGAGTAGCAACCCACTGCATTCCAAGGCAACATGTTAATATCCTACCTCATTACACAACATTTCAAGCAGATGGTTGGGTTTACATAAGCAATACATGCTTTAGACTCATGAAATTAACCAAATTATATATTTATGTTTGGCAAGAAAGAATACATAGAGAATCAGTTCCTGACATTCTTCAGATGAGATGTTAAATTGAGCTCCCACCTGCCTGTTCAGATGAACATTAAAGACCCCATGGTACTATCTGAAAAGAGAAGGGAGCATCTCACAGTCGCCTGGCCAAGAATCTCCTAGATAAAACTGGTTATTCGCTGTCTGTTTGTAGAATATTCCTGTGCACAAAAATTGTCTGCTCCATTTGCCTACAATTACAGTCACCTCACTCTACAATAAATCCTGTGAAATGCTTTGAGATGTTTCAGCAACTTGATAAAGTACCATATTAAGTCCAAATATTTAATTTTTTCAATCAATTACATTTACCCCTTATTAAATTGACAGAAGCCCTCATTCCTTTCATTATCACTGTCTGAAATTAACTCTTTACCATCCACAGGAGTGATTAAGAGCTTGGGTTGGGAGACCAACACAGGAGGCCCTTGCTGCACACTTATCTCCCAGTCCTAAATATAAATAGTTGTTCCCTTACCTGTACTTTTTTCCTCCTGAATGAGGTGATTCTTTCTGTGATTACAAAAAAAGTTTAATGACTGGAGGGAGCACCTTTTTAATTCAATCAATCACTGTTTATTTTGCAGAGAGGTGACACACTGTCATTTTTACACACTGAAATCAACTGTACTATCAGGTGCAGGTGCTGAGACAGACACTCACCCCAGAGCTACATAAAGCAAAGGACAAATCACTGTATCAATTGCCCAAGCTTGATATAGATTGGAGTAGCATCATCTAGTTTGTTTGATTTTGTGAGCGAAAGGAAAAAGGTTAAACACTTTTGAAATTGGATCTGCTTAGCATTTGTGGTATGAAACACAACAGCCACAGTAAAGTATGAAAAACATGAATAGGTTTAATAATTCAGTGTTGCACTGAATGTTTCAGTGTTGTGGGAACAGGGTTACCATCCACACATTACTGCTGAATTAATTACATTAATAGGGAAAATGGCCGACTGGGAGTGTTTACTGGGCAACTCTGCTGAACAGCTTTGGCAGATCTGTTGAAATAATACTCTACACCTCCAACAGGCAACTGTTTTTTTCAACAACAAATTCAGTAATTTAATGATAGTGGTTATCAATGTAACAAGTGGGGTCAATGGTATTGCTACAACAGCTGTCATTTTGAATTCTGATGCATAAAGACATTTTGGCTTTGAGGTTTGTGTTCAATAAATCTCCATCAACTTGGGGAAGACATTGTAAAAATTACATCAACTGGGGTCTGATTACAAAGGGCAACTTCCAACTGTCCATTTAACAATCAGCTATTACTGGATTTCACCACTGATGTTGAATCTAATCATTACTGTGTAAATAGACGTGTGAGTGATGCTTTGAAATAGGGCTGACAAAACCCGGGATTCTTTACACTGGATGTTTGACACAATAACAGAACCTCAATTGTGCTAAGGAGGTCAATATATAAACAGCAGATATATGCCATTTTAATACTTTTGGCAATATACAGTAGGTAAAACTTGCTGTAGCCCTTAACAAATATGTTTTTTTTAAATCTATATTAAGTTCAATCACAAAATAAAATGATATTCCACCGGTCAATGTCTAGATCATTTTATTTTGGCCGAAGCATTATTCTGTAGTAAATGGCATGGCAATTGAGAGGGCATAGTGTGGTGGGTTACTCCTAGGTTACTGAAAATGTTATCAATGAGAGAAGAGTAAAAAAAAATGGGTTTCTACGGAGCCCTTCTTGTTCACTTAGGCTCTGACAGGCTGAAGTATTCCATTCATCTGGGGATAATTTGAGTAAAAGAGTGAAAATAGTTCCGAACTCGCATTCCCTGAATCCTCTGTGTGGTGCAACAAATTATTATTTCACAAATGTTGCTCCAATTCATAGTGACAGTTCCACCCAAGGACTATCATTTAATTTTCAATAACATTAATAATCCTTGCATTTGATATAGCTGTTTTATCACGTCGTTAAGACGTCTCGAAGCGCTTCACAGATTATATCGGAAAGTGGATTGACTGGCTATTAAACATAACTGTAGTAATTCTCTTCACAGAAACCATTGCTTGTGTGTCTATGAGTACTGGACGTTTGACTGCATTGTCTCAATTTGAGATGGCCTAGCCTTATGTAGAGAAGGCTAATTTAGTGATCCAGAATTTATTCAGAAATGATGTGTGTATTACTGGATAAGATCTATCACATCAGCCCCAGTTCAAAATCCACATCTCTTCCTTCCACACACAAAAACACAATAGGCAGTTTTGTGTTTTTTTATTATTATTGCACATATCTTACACACACTGTGTATAAATTTTAAATAATGGTAAAACTTACAAACGACTATGGCACAATATTTGAAACACATTAGGTTACTGAACAACAAATGTTAGCCAGAAATGTTGAAGTACAGCATCGATGGTCCTTCTTGTGTAATGTTAATTATGGTGAAGAGCTAAAAATGAACACAGGTTTAATGGCACTGATAACGTTTGGAAATTCAGCTTTTACAGCACATCAAGTCACTCATTCACAAGCAGAGCACGCTTCCTCAGCTGAAGACTGTTCCTTTTACAGTATTTCACTTCTGAAACAGTTCAGTTCTTTGGCACAAGAACCTTCAGTTTTTGATGCACCACTGCAGCCAATTGACACATTAATCAAGCGTTACAGGGTTTTAGAGTGTATCACTTTTTATTTGGGTTACCTAAAACCAATTTTCCCTGCCCATCTTTCCTTAATGTACTTTCACAAAATAAATCGTTTTGCCTTTTTTTAAGAACTTAATTAATTTCTAGCTCAACAAGAATTGCAGTGGTGTTACCTTGCACAGAATGATTTAGGGGCGAGCCTGATAATCAGACCCTCTAAATCTGAAACTCCTGTGCTTCAATGTGTTATGTCTTAACTGGCACTGGATTAAGTTAGGCTAGTTTCCTGTAAGGTCATTGGTGGAATTTGATCGAAAATGGCACTATTAAGAGTACTGACTTGCATTGAATATCCCTGTCATTTATAATTGTAAATATTGTTCCAAACGTACTCAAATATCTAGCGTTACCCAGCAGTACTGAAGCTGCAAGTGACAGCAAGTTGCACTTAGTGGTATTAGACATTTCTTTTGCAAATGGCAATAGATGTTGACAACATCAGGGATCGATCCCGGCGGTGGATGATGATCATTGGTGCCGGTTACATTGTGGCTACAGGAATATGGCTTTCTTCAGTCTGGTAGGGTTCACAGTTCATTAATTTTAAGGTTCATACTTAAGATCATGGCAGCCTTTCTGAGATGACTGAATTGCATTTGCAGTACTCATGACAGCCTTTACAATGATGTATGTAAAAAAACATAAATAGGCTATGTTATTTTATGTGTTGATGCCACAGTTAGCAATCATGGCTCCCGCTGCTCATATGCCATTAGTTCAATGTGAAATATCAAGTTCAATGATTTAACATCAATGTTAAAGCATCTACAATACAATCTGGTTTGCAACTTCCTTTGTACAGTAAAGATGTTCAGATGCAGACTTGCCTTCGTCACAGTCCAGATCAGATTGACAATTCCACATATGTAGGCCACCTACTCATGGTAATTTCCCTGAGATGCAATGTGCACTCTTTCCCTGACTTAGATAAGCAGATGTGTCCCTCTAGGGAGAGAGTGGGCATTCCATTCCAGACACAGTGATATTTCCATGTGTAGGTGGCATAGGTATGCAGAAGTTTCAGTCTGGTTTGGATATTCTTAAGCACAGTAACGAGTTTCTGTAGACCCGACTAACAACAAAAAAATCACCATTCTGGATTTTCATTTATTCCAATAAGGTTCTTGTGTTGCCTGATGATGTTAAACAAAGTCTCTGAAAATACCAGCCAAGCTGCACCTCTCAACAGACACAATGTGGACTTAACTGGACCAATTCACATATTTTTAATTGAAACAGCTTGAGTAGCATTTTAAATAAGGTATTCAGGCCATGAGCTCAATAATGCTACACAATTCTTTTTGGTGAGGCATGTTTCTGCGAAGCTTCTTGGTGTAAATGGAGAGGAGCAAATGTACACTGTGCATATTGCAAAAATTGTTGGCTGCAATATTAGGAAACCCAACACTGCACCTCACAGTAACTCAAGCTTTCTGGTGGAAATCATTTCCCTTGACAAAAAAATTCAAAAGTGATTTTTTTTTTGTTGCAGTAATCCAACATTGTTTACATGTGCTTTTTAAAAACAAAAGCTGCTGAGGCCTCTTTACTGACACAAGTCTTTGTCTGTTGGCAGCTCTTAAAAAAACTGTCTGCCTCTACACTGTACAGTCTAGGAAATTTAAAAGGAAATCTCACAGACCAGGATGAAAGCACAGCATCCAAAAGGTCTCCATGTATCACAGCTGCTAGCTATGTAAGCTGGTGTGGGCCACTCAAGTGACCCGACCTGCATCCTGTTTCATCAGTCTTTGAATGGAATTCAGTCTGACATTTCTGACTTGTACATGTACGGATATGGAGTTCAGATACAGGAGGAAGGTAGTAGAGTTAAAAACATTTGGCGCTCCAGAATTTTTTTTTAAAAATTGTCAAAGTAAAAACGAGAGACTCCGAAAAGCCTTTGGGCAATTTGTCTTCTCACAGCAAGCAGATCAGACTCTTGCCCTCTTCAATTTCTTCCTGTACTTTATCACTGGATGTTGCAATCTCTGCTTGTGCCGATAGAACTGCACAGAGGAATGTAAGGACAGTGCCACCAACTGCTGTGTAAAAGGCCCAGCCCAGAGAGCACTCCCCCAGCTGATAAGGTGAAACCTCAGGTCCACAGTAGTCCACTACTTTCTGAGAACCCCATCCAGCAGGGTACAGGATCAGGCCAAGGATCAAAAAGAGACCTGGGGAAAAAAAGAAACATGTTCAATGAGTTATTAGATTCAAAAAGAACAAACCGTGTTGGTATTTGAATTGCTAATTTATTTCTGCCTATTCAACCAGGCAGCCCGGGGAAATGGATGTTTTGTGCCAATCCCAATCCTATCCTGTGTGGGTGAACCAGGTGCTGCAGGGGTTTATTTTGGTCAGCCGGGTCTCTGACACATGCAAAAACAACCACCACAACACCCAGGTTTCATATATCGCCCTTCACACAGGATAGCATCTCGGAGCTTTGCACAGTGGTTGGATGACAAGCATAATCATTTTTGCATTTGGTATAGTGGCTTTCACATTGGAGGATGCCTCAAAGCACTTTACATGATTTATTATACAGTGCATTGAATGCATATTCTGCAGGTGAATGCAGCAGCCAATTTGTGCAATGCCATGTCCCACAAACAGCATGAAGTGAATGCCCAATTTTATCTAGATGATTGTTGGCCAGGATACTGGGAAAAACATCTTATCTTTTCAAATACTGCCATGGGATCATTAATGTCAACTTGAACAAGCTAATGGAAGCTTGGGTTAATATCTCATCTGAAGAACAGCACCTCCAACTATACAGTATTTCCCCAGGACTGCATTGGTGCGTCAGCCCAGGCTAATGCAGAATAGTGTGGAATAGCCTTAAATTCAATCTGAATTTAGAAGCTGTTTGTGGGACATAGTTGTGTGCAAATTGGCTGTGCTAGACCAGACAGACCTGGGAATGCTGATCAAAAGCAAAATGTGCTTCATTTTTCAGCATTCACCAATCTCCCTCTTGAAGAGCACAGCATGTACAGTGAATCCACTCCACAATAGAAGCACGTATTATTATTATGATGATGATAAAATTCATCCACTCAAAGTTTACAAACACAAACACTTTTGGTCAAACTAATTTAGTGCATTTGCAGTAAATCCCCCGATTAAGACTCTGGGACTATGGGGTCTAATATGCAGTATTTCAGAATAATAAATGTGTAACGAACTGCGGAATACATTCTTCCAGCACATTTAAAGTTTAGAAATGTGATAATTGCCTTTTTATGTGACAGAGGGTGATCTAATCAGTGTATAAAGATAAACTAAAGTCTAAAATTCAAGACTTAATTTACCCTAGTTAAGTTCTGAAATTCAGTCGATTTTGAAATTGGTTCTTTTTAAGAATCGAGGGAACCCAGTTCCTAAATTCAGATTGAATTTAAGACTATTCCAAACTATTCTGTGTATTCTTAAATTATAAGACAAAACAGTCTTAATAGGCCCGAGACTAGATGGAATTTCAATCCCTGAGTTCCCTATACCACACACTGTTTAGGTCTCCCTCACTAATAGAGAACACATATGCTGCACTGACTTTATGACCCACACCCCCTGGAGATAGTATTATGAAGGGCTCTACTGTATCAGGTAATGGAAATTTTGCATTCCTGTTTTTGTAAGCACATTGGCAAGTAATAGGCTTTTGTTCTGTTGTTCTCCGACTCCACTCACTTTAAGCTGCTGTCCGGAAATAAGTTTGTCGACATAATTGAAAACTAATCTTAACACGTTGCTGTAATTTAGTTAATTATATCTGAAATTCTTGGCAAAAGATGCAGTGCAAAGATTTGCTTTAATGTATCACAATTTAGAAACTCTGGCAAAGCACTAAAGAAGTGATACTAAGTGACCCCAATTTACTTCACCACATCTTAGCCGGAAGTGCCTGGAAAACCACATACTTCACGCATCTTTAAAGAGGCTCTTAAAGGTCCATTTTATTTAGCTCCACACTGTTGAATCAAACTACAGTTATAATTAATTAATAAATAAATAATCTGTTGATCTGTCTGAATGGAATCCTGAAGAAATGGAAAGTGATGAAGTTGTTATTATTTACAGTTGCAATGGGGAAGGAGAATGCTATGCTCATTTCACTATAAGTCTTGGGAAACTCTACTACAGTGGAGAAGTTTTCCTTTGTGTTTGGTGAGGCTGCTGCTTACTGAATTTCTTGCTCACTCACTGTCCATGTTTCCAGATCACCCTCCACAACAGCCACTGATGTTTTTGTTCTGGTCATATCCCAACTGTGTCATTCACAGCAAAGATTTCAGTCTCCAGCTCTTACTCGGTTGATCCAAAACAGGTAGCATTGTAATTGTCTGCTGATTGCTGTGCTTGTGTGATATTTACAAGCTCAGGTCTGGTCCTGTTCTGGTCTACAATCAGGTTGCATTTAAGTCAAAATGCAAAGCATTACATCTGGTCCAATCATCCTGGCATCATTTAAAGATGCCAGGCTCAGTGGGGAAGCATCACCTCTTCTGTTTCACTTCAAATAACTTTCAATTTGTAAAATCCCAATGTAAGCGATCCTACCACCATCAAAATCGACTGAGGCATATTGCTCCTTTAAATAATTATTATCCTTACATTTTTGGTGCAGTATAAATTTTGCTATACTCTGGAGGAGATTTCAGTCCAATTTTTACACTTTTTCAGTAATTCTAGCCAGTTGGAGCCTGTATTTTACTGGATCAGCCAACATCAAGTGTTGCCCTTAATAGGAAGAAATTTCACCTGGATCCAGATTTATGCCATTTACATAAAATTTTGGAAAGTTCAGAATTTGGCAAATTGTTGAATTCAGTCTTAACTTTAAAGTTGGTTTTCTGGAATTCTTAAACAAAACTTAAAGAAGATTATCTTCAAAATTAAGGCTGTATTTAAGAATATTGAGGTACAGATTAGCCACGAGATAATAGAATTATGGATCAGGCTAGAGGCACTGAATGGCCTACTCCTGTTCCTATGTTCCTAGAATATACCAAATTCAGGACTTTTTAAAATGCTAAATGGGAGTAAATCTAGACCCAGGTGGAATTTCTCCCCACTGAATTTCCTACAAAGCCTCCTGCGCTGGGAGTGCGAGGAGGAGTTACACACCAAGAGAAGGAATAATAAAGAGGAGGATGTGGCCAGAACTGCATTCATATTAACAACATCCAAAATACCACATATCAACCTCACCTATAATGTCCACTTTCAAAAAGCAAGTGTCATTTAAAAAAAAACACATGTTGAAGATTGCTTTTATTAGCAACTTGATCTGACCAGAATAAGAAAGCTCCTTCTTTTAAGTGGTTAGCTGCTACAATAACACAGGGCGATTCAGAATTCTTTCAGCAGCCTGTTGATTTTATTTCCTCGGGTACTCTTGCATGGAGATATTTGCTGCCAGACTCTTTTCTATTTGGTCATGGTCATCTTAAAAAGCTCACCGTTCACTTGGAGGGGTTTGGGGCTGTAATACGTGTCTTTCTAATTGGAACAATTATCAAAAGGCATCTCGGGCTGGCACCACAGGTGCTGAATGAACCGATTCAGTGGAAGAAGCAGCAATCTCCAAAAATGCTAAGCCGCCCCTGTTACAACTTTAATTGCATTCTGCACAGCACCCCAATTTCTTATTAAAAGTACCGTGACCTGTTAACTGCTGTTAGTATAATATAAATAATCCTTGCATTTCATATCGCGCCTTATCACGTCGTTGAGACTTCTCAAAGTGCTTCACAGAATATATTGTTCAGTGTAATGACTGTGTATTTTGTCGTCAAAATATAGCGCATCTAGCACTAGCAGCATGACAATCTAGCAACAGAATAGATGAACAATAAAGAGGCAAAACTCACGCCTGTGTATTATGTTTGCACCGACATTGCAGAATTGACATATTCACAGCTCCCGTAAGCAATATTCTGAGTAAGCAGCTTCCACTTGGAGTAAATTAATAACTAGCAAGAGCTTCTTTTCCCTTTTATTGTTTCTGTTAAGATCTTGTCAAGTTTAAACAGCAGCTACAACAACTTGCATTTATATCTATAAATAATAAAAATCATCCTTGCATTTGGTATAGTGCTTTATTACATTGTTAGGTCTCAAAACGCTTCATAGGATATAATATTATGACCTTGTGTATTTTGTGGATGAACTTGGCAGACAGCTTGCACACAGCAATGTCCAACAAACAGCCATAGAGTGAATGACTGATTTTATTTGGGGGACTGTTGGCTAGGATGCTGGGAGAAACTCCCTTCACTCGTCACCTTGCACTTGAACATCTTAAAACGCTTAAACATGATACAGAAATGGAGGAAGGGAGAATTAAGGGTGTTGACTAAAAACACAGTCAAAGAGACGTGGCTTTAGGAGGATTTTGAAGGCTGGGAGAGAGGGGCTGAAGAGGTTTTGGAAGAGAGTTCCAGGTGCCTATGCCTATTTCAGCATTCATATGTCAGCACTTTAATTTCAGAATTGGTGAAGCTGGTTGCAGAGCAGAAAGAGGTTTCAGACAACAACAAATTACACTTGTATAGCGCCTTTCACGTCGGGAGGACGTCCCAAGGCACTGGACAGAGTACAGCATTTCAGACCCGAGCTGGGGTTGAGGGAGTAAGGGAGGGGAGGGGAAGGGGGGTAATGATGGCACAGTGTTAGATGTAGATGTGGTTGAGAAGCCAGCAGTACAGCAGTGGTTTTAAAGTGAACTCACAAGCCTGATTCACTGATTTTTGCCTTTGATGATTAAAGCAATAGGAAACAATAAGATGTGTCTCGTGGATTCTAACGTCAAAGTTAGAAGGAATGGTTTCATGCTGTAAGAATGTAGACGTACAGTAAGATGAGGAATCACCTTACTAAGAAAGTGCAAACAGGGTACAATGCCCTAGATAACAGTTCAGTTTCAGAACAGTTTAAATTAACAAAAATTGGAGCAGATTCATATCTTTTCCTTCCAAGACAATTGTAATGAAGAGCAACTACAGCCACCAGAAACAATGAGTTTTGTTATCAATTAAAACATCAAAGGTTTTTTATTGACTGAAAGCCCCTGGGAAATGAGAGCCTGAAGATGGAGTGCATCATTCATATGATGGTGAGTGTGTGCTGGTAATTTGACCAGATTGACACTTGTGTTCTCCACCAA